ATCAGACCTATGGAGAAGAGAAGAATTTATGACCAAATGACCCACAGAGAGCATTATAAAATGTAAAATAGATACTTTTCTTTATATTAAATTTAAAATTAAATTTGTCATTGCTTGCTGTCATAAAAAGAGCTGCTATAAATATTTTTGTCCATCTAGGCCCTTTTCCCTTTTTATATTTTCTTTGGCCTACAGACCTAGTAGTGATATTGCCAGATCTCAGGGTATGCACAGTTTTATAGCACTTTGGCATAGTTCCAAATTGCTCTTCAGAATGGTCAAATCAGTTAACAACTCCACCAACAATGCTGTAGTGTTCCAATTTTCTCACATCTTCTCCAACATTTATCATTTTCCTTTTCCGTCATATTAGACAACCTGATAGGTATGAGATAGTATCTCTGAGTTGTTTTAATTTATATTTCTATAATGATTAGTGAGAGCATTTTTTTCTTTTTCTTTTTTCTTTTTTTAATTAAATTGTTTATTTTTAGTTTTCAACAATCACTTCCAAAAGCTTCTAAGTTTTAAATTTTCTCCCCCTCTCTCTCCACCTCTTTCCCCAAGACGCCATGAAATCTAATATAAGCTCTACATGTACATTCCTATTAAACATATTTTCACATTAATCATGTTGTAAAGAAGAATTAGAACGCATAAGAGGAACCAGAAGAAAGAAGAAACAAAACAAAACAGAAGAAAAAAAGAGAGAAAATTGTATGCTTCAATATGCATTCAAACTCCATAGTTCTTTGTCTGGATATGGATAGCATTTTTCATCATGAGACTTTTGAAGATGTCTTCGATCTTTGCATTGCTGAGAAGGACTGTCTATCAAAGTTAGTGACTGCACAACATGGCTGTTACTGTGTACATCTTTCTCCCGGTTCTGCTCACTTCACGCAGCATCAGTCCATACAAGATTTTCCTGGTTTTTCTGAAGTCCATTTGCTCATCATTTCTTATAGCACAATAGTATTCCTTTGCATTCATATACCACAACTTGTTCAGTCATTCCCCAATAGATGGGCATCCCCTCAATTTCTACTTCTTTGCCACCACAGGCAGAGCTGCTATAAATATTTTGGTAGATGTGGGTCTTTTTCCCACTGTCATGATCTCTTTGGGATACAACCTAGAAGTGCTATTGCTGGGTGAAAGGATATGCACATTTTTATAACTCTTTGGGCATAGTTCCAAATTGCTCTCCAAAATGGCTGGATCAAAGGGCAGCTAGGTGGAGCAGTGACAGAGAACCGCCCCTGGATTCAGGAGGACCTGAGTTCAAATCTGGCCTCAGACACATACTACTTACTAGCTCTGTGACCTTAACCATATTGCCTAGCCAAAAAAAAAAAAATAAAAATGAAAAACAAAATGGTTAGATCAATTCACAACTCCACCAACAATGTATTAGTGTTCCAATTTTCCCAAATCGTCTCCAACATTTGTCATTTTCCTGTTTTGTCATTTTAGGTAATCTGATATGTGTGATGTGGTAGCTCAGAGTTGTTTTTATTCGTGTTTCTCTAATCAGTAATGATTTAGAACATGTTTTCATATGACTATAGATAGTTTTAATTTCTTCATCTGGAAACTAACTGTTCATATGAATCCTTTGACTATCAATTGGGGAATGACTTGTATTCTTATAAATTTCACTATATATTTCTCTATATATTTTAGAAATGAGGCCCTTATCAGAGACACTGGTTATAAAAATTCTTTCCCAGTTTTCTGCTTCCCTCCTAATGTTGGGTGCATTGGCTTTGTTTGTGCAAAAACTTTTCAATTTAACATAATCAAAATTATCCATTTTGCATTTCATAATGTTTTGTGGGTCATAGTGGTCACTATGGAATATGAAAGGCATTCACCTTGTAGTGTAATCCTCTATGAAGATTCATGGGACACAGATAAGAGGCATGTAGGAAGAGAAGCTATAGGTGGGTAATGATATCATCACCATCAGCACCAGTGGAGGGAGTACCAGCACTGATAGGCTAATGGATCCAACAAAGTGCTGATGTCTATACAATTACTGTATACTATTATAACTACATAATGCTATTATATATTATAACTACATATTATTCACATCTCCCTCATTTCTTAGAGCACAATAACATTGCATCAAAATTATATACAACCACTTCTTCAGCCATTCAACAATTGATGGACATCCCTCAATTTATACTGTGAATATTTTTGGTACATATAGATCCTTTACCTTTTTCTTTTATCTGTCCAGAACATAGACCTAGCAGTGATATTGCTGTGTCAAAGGGTATGTACAGCTTTATAGCGCTTTGGGCACAATTCCAAATTGTTCTCAAGAATGGTCAGACAAGTTCTGAATTGCGCACTAATGTCTCTATTTTTCCACATCCCCACCAGAATCTGTCATTTTCCTTTTCTGTCAGGATGGCCAATCTGAGGTAGTGTGAATTGATACATCAAAGTTGTTTTCATTTGCATTTCTCTAATTAATAGTGATTTACAGCTTTCATTATTATTGTTAGCTTTGATTTCTGCATCGAAAGCTCTGTTTATATTCCTTAATCCTGACAGGAATCTTATTCATTTTTTCACATGTCATGTGATATATGCCTCAAGCACGGTCAACAGTTACTCAGGACATATTAGGCTCAGGCTCATCTCATGGCCAAGAGGTCATCCCCAAGCATCTTGCATGCCATATTTCCAGGGATCAAAATAGATGCAAATGCTCTCCCAATACTAAGTACCTCTAGCTCAGCCAGCATATCTCCCTCCCTGAAAGCCCATGGAAGGATAACACTAAATTTTTGCTCCTTTAGAGGCCTCTGCAGAGGGGAGGGATATCTTCTTACCCAGGGAGCCTAAATACTCTCTGAAACTACATCTAGGGACTCAGAATCACAATCTAGTTAGATGGGGATGTTCCTACACTCCTTATATCACGAAGAATCACTCTAGTAGATTATCTGATGGACATAAAGTGGTGTCCATAGTCTATAAACCTTTCCAAACTGAAAAGGTTTTTCTCCAGAATTAATTCTTTGATGCTGAGCAAGTTGTGTCTTCAGGCTGAAGGTCCTCCCACATTCACTGCATTCATAAGGTCTCTCTCCAGTATGAATGCTCTGATGTTGAGTAAAAGATACATTCAGCTGGAAAGCCTTCCCTTATACATTATATTCATAAGGTATAAATTTGGCCTTCCCACATTCACTACATACATAAGGTTTTTCTCCAGCATGAATTTTTGATATCTAATAAGATCTGAATTGCAATGTAGGCCTTCCCACACTCCTCACATTCGTGAGGAATCTCACTAGGATGAATTCTCTGATGGAGAACTACTGTCCTCAGTCTAAAGGCCTTTCTACATGCATTACTCTCTTAATATTTCTCTCCTAAAAAAATTGTTTAAAAAAGTATCTCTCCTTAATGCTTTAAGTTATACTCTCACTCTGAAGGTCTTCTGACATTCATTACATCCATAAGGTTTCTCTTCAGTATGAATTTTTTAATGTCGATTAAGATCTGAGTTGTGGGGGAAAGCCTTCCCATATTCCTTACATTCAAAAAGAATTGTCTCTAATATGAATTTTCTGATGTTCACTAAGTTTTGTCTTAATCCCGAAGGCCTTCCCACATTCACTACATTTATAAGGTTTCTCTCCAGTATGAATACTTTGGTGTCGAATAAGTGCTGAGTTGCAGGCAAAAGCCTTCCCACACTCCTTACATTCATAAAGCATCTTCCCAGTATGAATTCTCTGGTGCACATAAAGTAGTGTCTTACTCCTGAAGGCCTCCATACATTCACTACATTCATAAGCTTTCTCTACTGTATGAATTTTTTGATGTCGAGTAAAATCTGAGTTGTACAGGAAACCCCTCCCACACCCCTTACATTCATAAAGAAAATCTCCAGTATGAAGTTTCTGATGCTTAGTATGATGTGACTTCCTCCTGAAGGCCTTTCCACACTCACTACATTCATAAGGCTTCTCTCCACTATGAATTGTCTGATGCACAGTAAGCCCTGACTTAATCCTGAAGGCCTTTCCACATTCACTACATTCATAAGGCTTCTCTTCAGTATGACGTCTCTGATGCTCAGTAAGATGTGACTTCTTCCAGAAGGCCTTTCCACATTCACTGCATTCATAAGCCTTCTCTCCAGTATGAATTCTCTGATGCAGTCTAAGTTGTATCTTAATCCTGAAGGCCTTCCCACATTCATTACATTCATAAGGATTATCTCCAGTATGAATTCTCTGATGTCGAGTAAGATTTCCCTTCCAAGTGAAGGCCTTCCCACATATACTACATTTATAAGGATTCTCTCTAGTATGAATTCTCTGATGCAGGCTAAGTTGTATCTTAATCCTGAAGGCCTTCCCACATTCATTACATTCATAAGGATTATCTCCAGTATGAATTCTCTGATGTCGAGTAAGATTTCCCTTCCACATGAAGGCCTTCCCACATTCACTACATTCATAAGGTTTCTCTCCAGTATGAATTCTGTGATGCACAGTAACCTCTGACTTACCCTGGAAGGACTTCCCACATTCACTACATTCATAAGGTTTCTCTCCACTATGAACTGTCTGATGTACAGTAAGCCCTGACTTATTCCTGAAAGCCTTCCCACACTGAATACATTCGTAAGGTTTCTCTCCAGTATGAACTGTCTGATGCACAATAAGCCCTGACTTACTCCTAAAGGCCTTCCCACACTGACTACATTCATAAGGTTTCTCTCCAGTATGAACTCTCTGATGCACAATAAGCCCTGACTTACTCCTGAAGGCCTTCCCACATATACTACATTTATAAGGTTTCTCCCAGTATGAATCTCTGATGCAGTGAAAGTTGTTTCTTAATCCTAAAGGCCTTCCCACATTCACTACATTCATAAGGTTTCTCTCCAGTATGAATTCTCTGATGTTGAGTAAGGTTTTTCTTGCAAGTGAAGGCCTTCCCACATACATTACATTTATAAGGTTTCTCCCCAGTATGAATTCTTTGATGCACTCTAAGTTCTATCTTAATCCTGTAGGCCTTTCCACATACACTACATTTATAAGGTTTCTCTCCAGTATGAATTCTTTGATGCAGTGAAAGTTGTTTTTTAATCCTGAAGGCCTTTCCACATACACTACATTTATAAGGTTTCTCCCCAGTGTGAATTCTCTGATGCATTCTAAGTTCTATCTTAATCCTGTAGGCCTTTCCACATACACTACATTTATAAGGATTATCTCCAGTATGAATCATCAGATGTCGAGTAAGACTTCCCTTCAAAGTGAAGGCCTTCCCACACATACTACATTTATAAGTATTTTCTCTAGTATGAATTCTCTGATGCAGTGAAAGTTGTATCTTAATACTAAAGGCCTTCCCACATACACTACATTCATAAGGTTTCTCTCCAGTATGAACTCTCTGATGCAGTGAAAGTTGTTGCTTAACCCTGAAGGCCTTCCCACATACACTACATTCATAAGGTTTCTCTCCAGTATGAACTGTCTGATGTAGTGAAAGTTGTTGCTTAATCCTGAAGGCTTTCGCACATTTAATACATTCATAAGGTCTCTCTCCAGAATGAACTGTCTGATGTAGTGAAAGTTGTTTCTTAATCCTGAAGGCTTTCCCACATTCAATACATTCATAAGGTTTCTCTCCAGTATGAATTCTCTGATGTTGAATAAGACTTGTCTTGCAAGTAAAGGCCTTTCCACATACATTACATTTATAAGGTTTTTCCCAGTATGAATCTCTGATGCAGTGAAAGTTGTTGCTTAATCCTGAAGGCTTTCCCACATTCACTACATTCATAAGGTTTCTCTCCAGTATGAATTCTCTGATGCAGTGAAAGCTGTTTCTTAATCCTGAAGGCCTTCCCACATTCACTACATTCATAAGGTTTCTCTCCAGCATGAATTCTCTGATGCACAGCAAGATGATTCTTGCTCCTGAAGACCTTCCCACATTCATTACATTCAGGAGGTTTATCTCCAGTAAATTCTCTGCTCCCTGAAAGGAAGAATAAAGAGCCAATTAACCCTGCCTTTTTCCCCCTTTCCCAAAGTTCTTAGTTGCTCAAAGATTTTAGAACTGATGAAGCTGCCTCCGCCCAATATTCTAACTTCCTTAAAGGCCTCAATGATTTAACCACCTAATCTAGCTTTAACCACACCACAGGCCCCCCAGACTCAATATAGCTAGTGGCCCTAGCTAGCCACTGCCTCTGAATCCAATTCATGTATTTGAACAGGTGTATTCTTATACTCAACCACAATCACATCATCCATTTAGCCCAAGACAGGCCCATGGTACCTTACTATCCATCTTGACCAAACAGCACCACAAAGCTAGCCAAACAGAGGGCAGCACAACCAGGATGTATGACTACCAAACACAGAAGGACCCCCCAGCATTACCTAATCCCTTAACAAATCCATCCTGCCTTTTTAATACTCATCATTTCTATTATGTAATTGCATTGTTACCCTCTAAAAATCCATCTTGCTTTCTCCTAAGTTCCTGGTTCTCTTGGAAACCAGCCTACTTCTGAGGGGCATCAATCCTCAATAAATGCCAATACTTGGATTAGAAGTGGTCTGAGTCTGAATTCTTTGATATTTTTATTTCCCTTTTTTTAATTAATTAATTTTTTGGTGAGGCAACTGTGATTAAGTGACTTGCCCAGAGTCACACAGCTAGAAAGTATTATGTGTTTGAGGCCAGATTTGAACTCAGGTCCTCCTGAGTTCAAATCCATGTCCAGTGCTCTATCCACTGTGCCATTTAGCTGCCCCTGAATTCTTTGAGATGGTGTTGCCAACAACACACCAAGAAACCGCAACAGAACTATTCTCTTGCCTTCTCACCTGAGATGACAAGTCTCACTAGTCTTTCGCTAAGGATCAGTTTATCTTATGTGAAAGTATGAAGACTCAAAGGTAACATACGTAAATGAAATGACTAAGGATGAAATTAACCCTTAATTCTGCTGTACGTGGTTGACATTTGAAAGGAATAAGACTATTCAGAAAAAAAAAACACATGACTTTGAGAACTTCCAAATGTAGTCTTACCATATGAGCTTAAAATAGTAAGGGAAAAAAAAGATTGAACAGAAAGGAAATAGGAACTTAGAGTGAGGAGAAGAAATAAATAGATGAAGTAAAGAGAATAAACAAGAAAGATGAGGGGGGAAATGTGACAATTGCTGCCAGAAATTTCCTCAAAAAATCCAACATATCTACTTTGTAAGGAATTGATTAAAACTTATAAGAGTAAGACATACAAGTATTTCTGACAAGAGAAATTATTAATATTGACCTGAAACATTACTCAAAATCTGGTAATCAAAGAAGTAAAAATGAAAACAACTGACAGGTGTCCATAAACAGCCATTAGATTACCAAATATTCTTTAAAATGATAACTTATTAAATGACCTACTTATGAAACTGCTGCTGCCATTTTTCTTAAAAGTACCATAGTAATTTTAGAGCTACAAAACTACTCATATCATTTGACCCAATGGTCCTATTACCAGGTCTATACCCTCAAAATATTACTGAAAGCAAAGAACTCTCTCTAAAATGTTCACAATAGCTTTTGTGAAATTCCAAAATAATGAAAACCTATACGTCCAATGATGGGTTATGGTTAATCAAGTCATATGAACACATTATTTGCCTTTATAAATAATATGATTTCAAAGCATAAAGAAAAACAGGATGACACATAACATGACAGACTGAAAAAATGAGAATCAGGTTAGGATTAAATATTTTTAAAAATAACAGCAGCGAAGCAACATAATCACAAAACAAAATAAAAGAAAATATCAGAAGAGAAATGAGAAGCAAAAAGAGTACATTACTTAATATCTGAAAGTTTTATTTTAATATTAATATTACATAATTGATAAGTTGATTGAGGTATTAAATATACTAAATATTAATGTTTTAAAATTTAAAAGGGAGGATGAATTCATGCAAGTGAGGCAGAGAATACCTGCTTAAAATAAGATAATCTTCAATGAACAGAACAGAAATAACTGCCTTGTACAGATGCAACAACTTTCTTTGAGACTGGAGGTACATTTCAGTAAAGAGATACATTAAAAAAAAAGAGTGAGTTCCTGAGGTAAAAAAAAAGTTTTAAAGTCTCAGCTCCTCTCAATAGATCTAAGAAGCTTTGATAGATCACTCTGTTCAACGTTTTACAAGAGTTTTGACCTAAAATGACCAACAGATCACTATTTTGCAATGACCCAACTGCTTGGTTTTTATATAGTCACCTGGACAGCTGCTTCCTGAAATATCTGCCTCTGGCATCCAAGATGCTTCCCTTCTTTCCAACTGGTAGATCACATCTGGTTTGGAAACTGGAAATCCTGTTTGTTGAAAAGGAAAAAGAGCTAGGGAGTCATCTTGGAGTTCCATCATAGAACAGGTAGAGAAATATTCCTTCCAACTCTTAGTAGAAAGGTGGGGTAATAAGGGTGCTGAATGTACCTTACACCATCAAGGCACTATGTTAGC